GTAGGTTGTCCCCATCAGCTGCTTTGGGAGGAAAATCACTGCCACCGGTATCAGTCTGCCCCACCACACAGAGTGGGAGAAATTCCCTCCTAAACTCCTTCCTAGCAATGGGTCTGCAGGGGCACTCGTTGTCCCCATTTAAGAAAACTGCTACCGACCTCCCTCTCCCCAGCAAAACTGGAAAGAGAGACTTTTGGGAGCGCCACAGTCAGGCCTCTTATTTATTGAGGCCTGCAGTAGCTTGGGGCCCTGCCAATCCTCAAGTGAGCCCTGACCTTAAGGATCCAGTGTGACGCTGTATGGAATATGAGTGACCATTTATAATATTACTGATACCAGTATTATACATTTGCAATGAATCTTATTTAAGCTATACCATGTAAGATGTCAGTGGAAAAGTTACCATTGGCTAAATATGATAATCATGTTTATATGTATGTATCATCTTTGAATTGTGAGTTTTAAATATGTGTGGTATATTTGTATCTGAAACCTGTGCTGTGTTTCAAACACCCCCAGAAAGATTGTCATCAGCACCATCCAGCCTGCTAGATGGCCTGTCAAAGGCAATCAGTTGCACAATGAACCCACTGAGAGAAGGCAGAGGTTACACCTATGAGTCAGCAGGAAATGTAGGGACATTCTTGTGGACAGGGGACTCTAAGTCTTTTCCATGCCATGTGTTGTACGTTTGTGTCTGGGACAAAGGAAGTACAAGCCACATAACAAAGGATAGAAAAAGGCAGCTGCATCTTCTCCATTTTGTCTTCAATCCTACTTCTTATCTCTGGAGCAACATCTCTACAAACTGAAGCATGGAACAAAGGACTGACAGACCCATCCAAGCTGTGGATGTGGTCTGGAGGGACTCTACAAGGCAGCATGGGCATGGATATAATAGGGCAGGGGAGGTTCTGCTTCCCCTGGCACCGCCGTGGCCACCGGACCCCGAGTTGCAGGGTTTGGCGGCAAAGTTTTTGCTTTCTTATGCCCCATGCAGGTTCCGGGGTGGCAGAGGAGGCACATACCACCTCCTCAGTCGCCCCAGAACCTGCATGGGGCATATCAAAAGTGTCTTCTAACAGACGCTTTTCCCCTGGATGGTGGGTGGGTTAGATCCGGGGAGGGGAGGCACGACGCGGTTGTGGCCAGCCCTGGGTTCCTCCAGGCTCGGGGCTTCGGCCAGCCTGACCGGAGCTTCTCTGGGCGGGGGGGCAGTTGGGGGAAGGCTTGGGGCTTCGGGCGGCCTGGGATGCAGCCGGGGGGGGCAGGGGCTCTCTGGACGGGGGGGGGTCCAGCTGCGGGGAGGATGGGGGAGCAGGGGGTCGGGGCTCTGGCAGTGGGGATGGCGTGGGTGGAAGGGGCGGAGCCGGGGGCTAGCCTCCCCAGAGGGGGGCTCCATCCACCGCCCATGCAAGCCAGCAAATTCACCAATGCTGCTAAGACCCTGACATATGGACTCTGAAGTCATATGCATGTATCTGACTGTTTTGACCATTTAACAACTCTCATCTTGTTCTTTTCTTTTCTAATAAAGCCTTTAGTTTTTAAATACTAAAAGATTGGCTGGCAGCGTGATATTTTGGGTAAGATCCAAACTAATATTGATCTGGTAATACAGCTGGCCCTTTGCAGATCAGAAGAATATTTTATATCGTGAGCAGAGTTATAAATAACTTCTCACTGTACTGGACCTAGGTGCTGATTGGGAGCCAGAGAACTGGAATGCAATAAAGGGGGCTGTGTGGTTTCTTTTTTCAGCTTCTTGATAACCAGTCGGGGGGACCAGGAGCACATTTTGTGTCTGGTTGGTAAATCTAACTACAGTATTAAGCTTTTGGGAGAATCTGCTCTCCTTTTTGGAGCCTGCCCTGATCAGTGAGGGCTACCCTGGGCACCATCCTGTACAGCAAGTCAGAGCAGAGTGCTATGGAACTGGGTGTGAGCTGACCGAGCATGTCTGTAATGTCTTGTTTGACTTGATTTTACAGCAGTTTTTCCAATAACTAACTCCTACTTACATCCATCGTGCCTTCCTACTTCCTCCTCCTCACAATACTCCAGTCCAGGAGTCCTACAAGCCCCATCTAATTAACTAATCAAAATACCAAAGGAACACTAACTCCTAGGCCAGGTGTACACTGCAGCTTAAAAGGCAGCTTACATCAACCTATCTCTGTAAGTGTCTACATTACAGGGCTGCTCCCACCAATGTAAGTCCCCCACTACACTGATGTAATAACTCAACCTCCATGAGAGGCTTGGCACTTAGGTCCGTGTAGTTAGATTGGCACAGCTTCTGTGTAGACATTGCATTACTTACATCGCCTGTCAGCACCAGCTGGGAGCCTGACTACCAGGCACTGAGAGCCTGAGCTGTTAGCTCCAGGTAGCTGAGCTCCCAGCTGGGAGCTCTGCGCAGAGCTGACAGCCTAGGCTGTCAGCCCCCCACACCATCCCACTTAAGTTGGTGGAAGTGCTCCTGGTGAGGACAGGATGGTAGTGTGGACACAAAAAAACGCAGTAGTTACTGCGGTGGCTGTAAGTCGACCTAACATAGGTCAACTTATTTGTGTAGTGTAGGCCAGACCCTAGTCTTCTAACTGCATGGAGTAGCCACACAACTCTGGGCTTACTTTTGTTTTTAAAATGACTCCCATCCTTCTCTCTTAAGAGTGATATTTCCTCTGTATCATCCCTCCTGCTGTTCTTTGCACCAGCGAAGATACACCCCAGAGCTGGTTTCATGCCCTTTTTCCAACACTGATGTCTCCTCTCTGCTAATATGCTGTATTGTGTATCAGGACATCTTCCTGCAAATGACACTGCATACTTCCCTGTGGCAGCAGCAGGGGCAGTGACGTTGTTAAATGAATGTGCATCCAGAAAACACTGGAATGGCAGGCCTGATGCCTCCAAAGTGTCCTTCCTTTTAGACTCAATGTGTAATAAATAATACTTCATACTTTTATAGCTAATTTCATCTCAAGATATTAAATTGCTTTTTACAGCTAGGTAAGGGTCATATTAAGCTAATTTTACAGATGGGGAAACTGAGACGTTAATTGATTTGCTCAAGATTCCACCGTGTCAGTGAGTGAGATATGAATAGGACCTGGCTCCTCTCAACACAAGGCTGTACCGACTCTAGGCCTTGGTGGATTCCCAACACACAAAGACACAACTAGTAGTAAATTATTTGCTAGGACTGGCAGGAAGGGATCAACTGCTAGGGTGACCTACTTGTAGTTATAGAAAGTACACCGTAATTCCTTGCTAGGCCCTTGGCCCAGTAGAAGGAAACAGAGCTATTCCTGTCCCGTGTCTTCAAATACATATCTCTCTGGGAGATATTCGTAAATGGACTTGGGTTTGGCTCCGTCTCTGTGTCCTGGGAGTTGCCTGGTCAGAGTATAACTGCATTAGCCATTCATTTGTTTTGCTTTACTGCTTTTGCACCTATATGAGCAGACTACAGGACATCCCATATTCTGCACCAACGTCCCTATGTGAAACTCCTCCCACGAACATGTTCACTGTGGCCCTCATCCCTGGCATATAGTTCTCTTCAGGCTCCCTGTGCTGGGGACCTGTTCCCAAGGTATAATTGGACCCACTCCTACTTGCATTTAAATCAATGAAAAAGCCCTACTGAATTCAGTGGTGCAGGAGTAGATCTACAGGTAAAAATTTCCAATCCTTGGTGCCTAGGTTAAGCTCCTAAATTAGGAACCAAAACAGAAGTAGCCTGATTTTTCTTAAATGCTGAGTAATCCCAGCTCCCGTTAAAGTCGAAGGGAACTGCAAGTACTCAGTAGCTTTGAAGGTCAGGACACTGCTGTTCAGGGGCCCAGTTACGGATTTAGGAATCTAACTTGGGTACTCGGGTTTGGAAACTCTGGACATAGCTCTTAAGCAGAGGACTTGTCTTCTCGAGGCCTAAACGGCTATTCCCAGTTCCTGCTTTTTACTGCTATTGCCCCTGCGAGGAGCCCCGGGACCGGTTCCTGCCCGGGGACCCCGGCGGGTTCCCTTTGCCGGCAGTTTGTCCCGCTACCTAGTGCGGTCTCCCCCCCGCCGCCTCTGTAGCTTCTTCTTTCCCTGCCGGGCCACCCGGGGGCAGGAGCTGCTCGCAGCCCTGCGGCCTCTCCGCCCCATCTCGGGGCCGCTGCGCTGCTTCCCCCGGCAGCGCCAGCTCCGCGGCAGGTCACAGCGCTCTCCGGATGCCCCGGGGCAGCTCGCAGCGACCCCCTATGGACACGGGCCTGGGCGGCGGGTACCAGGGGCCCGGCCGCCTTCGGAGCCGCGCCGCCGAAAGGTGCCCGAGCCGCTCCCCTGCCCCCCGGTGCTGGGGGTGCAGATGTGTGAGCGGCGGGCGGCGGCCACATCTCCATTGGCCCAAGCGCTGCCGGGGCTGCAGAGTCTCTCCCGCCATTGGGCCAGTAAGAGCCCTTGCCTCGGCCCCTTGTCTCGGCGCCCGCCCCACGGCCCGGGCCCTGCGGGGGACACCGCGTCGGTCACACACGCGGCGCAGGTGAACCCCGGTGTCTGGGCAAGGCCCCGCCCCGCCAGTAGGGGGCTGCCCTCGCGGAGCCTCCCTCTCTATGGCTCATTTCTGCTGCAGGACCTGCCTGCGGCTGCTCTCTACACTCGTGTCTGCAGGGCCACGCTGTGACGGGCGAGGCCCCCTGTGGGACTGACCAAATAGCTGCCTGTTCACAAATGACCATTGGATTGCACGAAGCCTGACTCCGTTAACACCCTTTAAATAATTTCATTTATCGACATTTGCACTTTCTGCTGCGGGGCTTTCTGTGCCTGTGAAATGTCATTCACACCACGAAGGGCTGAACCCTGCGCCGGGCTCAGCGCTGGCAGCCTCACCTCTTTAGAGAGCAACCGCGGGGATCACAGGCAATGGTGTTGCCCTCACTAAAAATGGCCGCCACTCCCGTTATTTACAATAACAGTGAAGCCAGATTACTCCGAGGTAAAGAGAAGCCATTTCCCTGCCCCTAGTAAACATGGCCGCCGCCGGGTCAACAACGGGGTTTGAGACCTGGCTGCCCAGCGCGGAGATGGCCGCCCCGTGCGCGGTGTGGTTTGGGGCTCAGGCAAGAATCTCTCCCAGCGCCGCGGGTCGGCTTCCCTCGCCCCGGCGTGTGTCACGCGGTGCCTGGGGGTGAAGGCCCGGCTGGCCCCGCCCGCACTGCGCCCCCTCCCCCAACACCCCCAGCTCCGCCCCCTACATGCCCTTACCTCCTAGCTCTGCCGCTGCCCGCACTGCGCCCCGCACCCAGCCTCCTTACCTCACAGCTCCCCACTGCCTGAACCGTGCCGACCCG